TCATCTCAGTCATGAGTCGACTCATCGAGGGTTTCCTGGTTCGTTTGGGATTCTGTTCACACGAATTTGGTTTTGGGTCTGGTTATTTACCAAACTGCCATCCACGTTTGTACACCTATATAAGGGATTGTTTTAGGGTTTCTAAACATCTTTTAGATCAGAGAGTTTAATCAAGAGAGATTAGATTCTAGATTGAGATTTGGAGAGCTTGTTCTTCAATTCTAGAGTGAGATTGTAAGGGAGAGATTGTAATCTTTTGTTCTTCATAATCTAGAGAAGGTATTTTCCTTCGCCAAACTGAATTGTTCTTGTGTTTTGGTCGTCCTCTTCTCAACCCACCTTTTGGTAATTCCGCGACCAAAGGGTGCTCGCACGGTAACTCGTATCAAGTTGGTATCAGAGCGAACAGATCCTACGAAGGGGGCATCCTGTGCATGGTCCTGGCTCGTTCGCAATACAAGGAGCTTGACGAGATCCTTATTTCATTGGAAGGAGTCCGAGTTTTAAGGAAGAAGAAGATGACTGAAGGAGACAATTCAACGAGGATTGATGCATTGGAGAAGCAGATCGAGACAATAGGTTCGACTCTCACACAACTCGTCAGTCTTATCCATGGAGGTGGCAAACAAGGTGAATCTTCTTCGAAGAAAATTGTTGAGTCCGATGTGGAAAGAGTAGATTCAGATTCCGACGAGGAGGAGGAGACCATTAAGACTGTATTGCATCAAGGTGGTAAGAATTCTTATCAGAACCTGAAGATTGACTTTAAGGTGGAGATTCCTGTTTATGATGGGAGTGTTGACGTCGAGAGGCTTGACGACTGGATCGAGCGGATGGAGACGTATTTTACTCTTTATGGCTATTCGTCGAAAGAGAAGATTGTGTTCGTGACTTTAAAGCTTTCAGGACACGCGTTGACGTGGTGGAAATCCTACTACAAGCAGGAGAAGAAGGCGGTGTCGTGGACAAGTTCAAGGAGCTACTTAGGAAGCAGTTCTACCCGGTGGGATTCCTTGAAGAACGTTGGTACAAGTGGTACGGCTTGCGCCAAAGGGTCAATCAAACCGTTCACGAATACACTACGGAGTTCCAGCAGCAGGCGATGGTCCTCAACATTGCGACAGAGGAATATTCCGTGTTTATGAAGTATATGGCGGGATTGAGCGATCACATCCGAAAGGAGATGAGGCTATTCACGGTGGAGACTATTACAGAGGCGAGCGTGAAGGCCATACTCCAAACAGACGGGAGGCGAGTCTAGTGGTTCTCAATCTAAGGAGGAGAAGAAAAAGGGTGATCCAGGGAAAGCAGGGCTGATTTGTAATCACTGCAAGAAAACATGGCATACAGCTGATCGGTGCTGGGAGAAGTATCCTCATCTGAAGCCAAGAGGGTTGAAGAGGAAGGAGGAGAAAAAGACATACATGATAGCTCAAGGTCCGAAGGAAGTCCCGGGGATGACAGAGCCCAACAGCAGTCTCAATCTTATGACGAGAAAACAGACCACGAAAGAGGACGACGACCCGAGAGAGCAACTCTTTGTTCTTAAGTTGCAAGTGAAGACCAGTTTGGTTGATGCCATTGTTGATTCGGGCAGCGAGAAAATTTGATATCCGAGGCATTGGTGCAGAAGCTAAGCATCCGAAGCCCTATCCATTGGGGTGGATTCAGAAGGAGGAGAAACTGAGTGTAGTTGATCAATGCACTGTCAGATTTGCGCTCCACGAGTCGTATATTGACGAGGTCACGTGCGACGTCGTTCCATTGGATGTTTGTCAGATTATATTGGGCAATCCGTACTTATGGGATAGATATGCGATCTACGAGAGGCGGGCTCAGAAGTACACCTTCACTAAGGATGGTGTAAAGTTTATATTTCGTTCGGCATCTCTTCCGAAGGAGACAAGCTTGGGGACGGTGACGCGAGCGAAGAGACTAGTGAATGCAAGCAAGAAGTTTGTCTCGCTGTGCATTAGACTTCCAGAAAAACCATCGACAAAGGATTGCAATTTAGAGCGAACGGTGACTATGACGAGACGCGGGACGAATGAGTTGTTTCCGGTCGGACGTCGAGACCGGATTCCTAGCAAGGCCAGGTGGTGCAGAAAAGATGGAGGAGCTCAAGAGTTTCCTCAGCAAAAGTTCTAACTTGAACGGGACTTCAAGTTCTTAAAGAGGGGACACATGATACGGGTGTATCTTCTCTTCGGAACTTAGCGATCCTCATGAGAGCTTGAGGATAGATGATTCTCATGATAGCATGAGAATAGAGGTGTCAAACAGTACAAGGGAACGCAGGAGGAAGCATGGAACGAGACGACAAGCAAAAGAATCAAAGTATCCAGTTTTCAGCCCGTGAGTCGACTCATAACAGTCATGAGTCGACTCACAGGCTGAAAACTGGGTACTTCGATTCTAGATTGAGATTTGGAGAGCTTGTTCTTCAATTCTAGAGTGAGATTGTGAGGGAGAGATTGTAATCTTTTGTTCTTCATAATCTAGAGAAGGTATTTTCCTTCGCCAAACTGAATTGTTCTTGTGTTTTGGTCGTCCTCTTCTCAACCCACCTTTTGGTAATTCCGCGACCAAATGGTGCTCGCACGGTAACTCGTATCACCAAGTCCGACAATAACTTAATGTAGTTATTCACATGAGCTGCAAGCGAGGTACCTCGGGACATCTGGAATCTGAATAACCTACGCAGCAAATATAACCTGTTCTCAACACTCTTCGTAAGATACTTATTGTTGAGAATTTCCCACATCTTCATCGCAGACGTTACCCCAATCACATCATATTTCAGCTCATGTTCCAAACAGGACCTGATCACCCCACAAGCATTCCTATTCATCTTTTCTCATACCGACTCTTCATATTTAGGTGGCCTCACATCGATCATGATGGTCTTCTCTAAATTTTGAGCATTGAACACATCCTGTACGTCGCTCATCCACAAACCAAAATTGATTTTACCGTCGTATTTCACTACACTAATCTTAGTGTTCTGAAAACCCACTTGAACTGTGTCGATCATCTTGCTGCTTTCACCAACTTCTTCACCCATAATCACAAATTCCAAATTGCAAGGAAAGATTCAAACTTTGAAAGGAATAAGAAATTACCCAACTGAACCTTAGATTGGATTCCAAATAGAACTCCTAACCACACGAGGAAAGCGAGATCTTCAACGGTAACTTCAAACTCTAACTCTACCAAAGCCTAGAACTCCAAGAACCAAGCTTCCAACTGAATCTTCCTCCACCTAATCCAAAACCCTAGATCTGAAATCTGAGCTCTGATACCACTTGTCGCGCGCCTATGCGGAAGCGTTGCACGCACACACAACGAACTTGAGATCACGGAAGAAGAAAGCCACACACTTGCACAAACCAAGCCAATTACGACAAATCAAACCAAACACAAAGATATACGTGGTTCGGCAATTGCCTACGTCCACGGGAAGAGGATGGGGAGATTTCACTATATGGAGGAGAAATACAACGGGTTACAACTCACAAAATCACTCAAATATAACCCTAACCAAAGCTCTCAACTCCCTCACAATATCTCCCTCTCAAAGTGCTCAAAACAATGCTAATTCTCTCCTTTTCTCTTCTTAAGAAACCTTAAAAAATGTGGTCCTATTTATAATAAAACACAATCCCAAACAAAGGAGGATTCCCAAACAAAGGAGGATTCTAAAAACGAGTCTGCCACACCCTGCACCATGGGTGTGGCAGAGGGTGTGGTGCAGGACAGATTCTGCCACACCCTGTACCGTGGGTGTGACAGAGGGTGTGGTGCAGGACAGATTCTACCACACCCATGGCAGACACCACACCAGGGTCTGGTGGAGTCTGTTTTGGGTTATTCTTCACGTTTTTCACAATTCCTTCGCCGTTTTCACACACACCAGATTTAACGAGGTTCGGCAAACGTGCCTACGTTCTCGGGAGCCACACCACACAATTCTCTTATTAATTGAAGAAGAAATACAAGCTCTCAAACTAGGGTTTTATCTCTCTGAGATTCTCTCTCTTTTCAACAGTCAAAAAGTTCTTTTTTTTTGTGTTCTATCAAGCCCTAAAAATGTTTAGGTATATATAGAGTCCTGGAAGAAGCAGAATCCAAAACAGATAAGAAAACTGGCTGACTGCATCGCGGTCGACCGTGACGGTCGACCGCGCAGGTATCGCGCCCGCGGTCGATCGCGGCGGTCGATCGTATCAAACGACAGAGCCCAAAAATCCTACAGGGTATCCACGGTCGACCGCGACGGTCGACCGAACCAAAACCCGAGACCAAAATCCATTACAGAGATTTGTGCGGTCGATCGTCGCGGTCGACCGCCTTCAGCTCCAGGCTCTAACCAGCTCTGTGCACGTTCGCGGTCGACCTCCGCCGTCGACCGTGCAGGCCTTCTTCTGTTTTCTCGATTTTTTCTTCGTCTTCTTGATTCCAGCTTTGGCTTCGACTAGCAGAGTTCGGTCGACCGAGTCGGTCGACCGACGCACTATCTATGAAATTTTTCCTGTTTTGGGTATTTTGAACATTTCACTCATGTTTGAGAGTTTGACTGGACTATCTGACATTGGTATATAGTCTTACCATGTGTCCAGGCATGATAGATGACCCGATGGTACCAATTATGGATATATACACTGATTTGACTGTGAATTGATATAGGTAGATCTCACTATGTATTCCACGATCGTCGCGGTCGACCGCCTTCAGCTCCAGGCTCTAACCAGCTCTGTGCACGTTCGCGGTCGACCTCCGCCGTCGACCGTGCAGGCCTTCTTCTGTTTTCTCGATTTTTTCTTCGTCTTCTTGATTCCAGCTTTGGCTTCGACTTTGGGTCTACACTTAAGACTATTATTATTTGCTCGTCCAGCTGAATATAATGTACAAACTAGATTCATCCTCTTCCTACCTAGATCATATATTTTCAATCAAACAGAGACTCACAATTTTCTAAAATTATCATCTTGCCTTGATAGATATGATGGCTTGCTTCTCTCTGTCGGTGGAAATGGAAGGTCCTTTGTTTTAATTCTCGAGGCTGGCCCATTAGCTGATACTTCTCAAAGCAAACTATATTTTGCACGAATGACCACAAAAGTGGGCTTTTGCAGGGTCAGAAACTCCTTTGCTTAGTAGCCTTTTCTCATTTATTTTATCTATTTCTTCATTATGAACCGAGTGTGTTGTTAGATTGACAATTAAATAGTTTCAATATGCCATATAACACTTATCAATATTAACTTTTTGTTACTCATAACTGCATTTTGCAGGTAAGAGTGCCATTTTCATCTTTTCGTCCAGTGAAACCAGATGATCCTCCACTAGATCCTTTTCTTGTGCATACTTTAACTATTCGCTTTGAACCAAGACGACAGGTTTGCTAGTCACTTGTCCAACAAAGTGGATTTTGAGATACCTATAGAATGTGTTATTGTTTTTTATACTTTCTCCTTATCCTTGCTGCAGAGACCTCTTGAAGCATCTGCGGGAAATAGGCAGGATCTAAGAAGCTTCAAACTAATAATGGAATATATAAAAGCCCTACCTGTAAGTTGCTCTGCGTTCATCTAGTTATTTCTTTGTAATATCCTATAATACTATGCCCACTTGCTCCCTGCAAGAGTGTGGGGAGTTATTCTTAGTTGTATTTGAATCTTACATAAATCATTTAGATTTGGCTTCTCACTTTGAGATTTATAACTGAACCACCTTCCTAACTTTGCAATAGGCCTACATTGACGTACTTCTTTATGTTAATCAAATATCTCTGCTCTCTAATGTTATCCCTTCTATGCTTGTTTGATCTCGTTAAGGAATTCAGTTCTTTTATTAAACTTTTACAGACTGGGCAAGAAACAGATTTTATATTGGTCTCTTGCACGGGATCTGGAATTGAACCTGGAAGAAGAGAGCAGGTTCTTAAAGCCAAGAAGGTGCTCCATTTGACAATATAGCACATCATCCATTTTAGTTTTTCTATCTGAAAACTTGGAGCAAACTAACATTAGCTCCATTTCCTTTAGGCTGGTGAGGAGTCTCTAAGAAGATCAGGACTTGGGTACACAATCGTTCGTCCTGGTCCTTTGCAGGTACTTACTGACCTCACGCGATAGTGTTTGTATTTAGGGACTTTTGATTCCTATGATGAAACATCATGAGGAAACCACGTCCAGTTTTAAATCCTGTATTTGATCTATTTGACTAAAATAATAATAATAATAATGTTCTCATGAAGGCACTATTTTAATGGAAAGTCTAGGTTTAATACAGCAATGCCAGTAATCAGCATTACTGAATTTAGTGATGTGAAAAATGAAAAAGGGCCTGCTTGTTATTAAAGCATTACCATAACTGATATTTGGTTGTCTATAGAGGTACTAATACAAAAATGGATGCCAATACAGAAGCAGAGGACATTGGAATTGGCTATGAAAAATCAGTAGAATAGTGACAGAAACAAGTATGCATTTTTTCTAAGAAGTTAGAAAATGCATATAAACAACATATACTGTGAAGGAATCAGTAACTATATGGACATGAATTGAACCTATCCTAATTGAATACAATGATGATGTTGACAAGTTAATGAGTTCTGGGTGTGAGATGATTTTATATAAGTCCAATACCAGCTGGATCCAGAAGCTCTCAAGATTGTTCAATGTTAATCATGAGTTTTCCAGCGTTATATGTGGTGCCTTGTTGATAGTAGTCACAATTAACGTAATAAGCTCTGGAAAATTCTGAAGAGATGTTAACCCATCTAGATTGGGAGTGTTCAAGTCAGAAACATTTACTTTAAGCCATCTCGTGTGCATGCTTCAATGAAGACAAACCCATATTGGAGAAATACCCAATACTTGGATACTCGGATATCAGAAACATATATCCAAAAATATGAGATTGAAAATCGAGTTTGTGAATGACGAATTTATACTATAATATCTTTAAATGTAATGCATTTATATAATTTGTCCTGGTTCTTGATAAAGGATAAACATAATGCGTTTGTCTAGTTTCTTCATTATTTTTAATAAGGGATATGATAGTGATTGTTGCAACAAGTGCTATTCTGTACGACATGAACACATTTCATAACATCTTTTCCTCTTCGAATCATTCTATAGTTTACCACATGCTATGATGATGGCCATCAACCACAAATAAATATTTAGATGGCTTTGTTATTAGCCATATCCGTAATGCATCGATATTCGTGCGTCATGTGCAGTCTGAATATATGTGTATAACTTCTCCCATTTCCTTAATGTATATGTGCCCTAGTTTTAAATTTCCGTATCTTCATGAGATTATCAGGTTATACCCATATTCCTTTTCCGTGTCTGCAGCAATGCTTTATTGCAGTAGGGAAGACTGATTCGTTCAATTGGTGCAAGCTTACAGCTTAAATTTGGCGCATCCAAAAAAATTATAATCATTAAATCTGTATAATACACATATCTCTAGTGAATATGATTAAGTAATATGTATAGTAATATCAATCTATGAATTCATCAATAAAAGCCTCTATCTCGTGAGGGAAAAGCGACCAAAGGTCACCAACATTTAGGGTGTTATTTGGCAACTTCAAAATTGAACTAGGCTAGACTAGTTTTTTCTTAACTAGGCCAATGTTGAACCGTATTAAGGGTTGGTTCACAAAAGAACTAGTTTAGGGACAATATTTTGAACTAGAAAGAACTAGTTCAATTTGGGACCAATTTTTGCCAAACTAAAAAAACAAGGATTTGGACCAATGTGGTACCACTTAAACAAGTTTTGTGGAGTTGCCAAACATAAGCTAGCTTTTCAACTATCTTATGTTGTGTAAAAAAAAAGGACACTACCTGATGTTTTTTGAGTTTTGATCATCATCAACGCATTTACACTGTTTTTCTAGGAAGAACCTGGGGGTCAGCGAGCTTTGATCTTCGATCAAGGAAACAGGATCTCTCAAGTAAGATACCAATACAGGATTATATTTCAAGAACTTAAACATGTTCTCTGACAACATCGATTCATAATATTCACTTCATTGCAGGGTATAAGCTGTGCTGATGTTGCAGATATCTGTGTAAAGGCACTGCATGACTCAACAGCAAGAAATAAGAGTTTTGATGTAAGTTTCATGTTTCTCTGCCACTTTCTTTCATCTGAGATTCAAAGTGAGATCTTACGTGCTTTTGATGCGCGCAGGTTTGTTACGAATATGTCGCCGAGCAAGGGAGGGAACTTTATGAACTGGTATGATGAACTGAGTTTTAAATTGCTTATAGACCCCTCGAAGTATTCTTGTTTTGAACTTACAACCCCTATAGTTTCATTGTTGCAGATAGACCACCGGATTAAATTTTGTTGACTCTTTTACCCTAGGTGAAATTTTTATAGATATTGCCTCTGGGTAAACTAGTCAAAAAATCTGCTCCAGGGAATCTATCTACAACAATTAAACTACAGCGATAATAAGTGGAAAACAATAACACTTCAAGAGGTCTATGTGAAATTAACCCATTTTTAAATTAATGGTAGCTTGTTATCACATTTTTTAGAACTGATTGTTCCCCCCTGAGCTACTATTCTTATTGCCTGTGAAGGTTGCACATTTGCCCGACAAAGCGAATAACTATCTTACTCCAGCATTATCAGTTTTAGAAAAGAACACCTGATAACTACAGCTCTCTGTTCCAGCAAAAGCCTGATACGAGTGAGGACTCTATTGTAAAGAAAGCTAAATCCATCTTGTTTGAAAAAGAAAAGAGGTATATTTATAAAGCCCATTGGTATTATTTGTGTATAAGCTGTGCTATACATGTATATTTTCAAAATGACTGGAAAGTTGCATCATGTAATGGAACTGAAGTTATACACGTCGTGGCTCTTCCATGCCTCGCTCTCTTTTTCTTCAACGTTCACAGTAAGTGAGACTTAGTTTGTAGAAGACTAGCTACCGAAAAATGTATCATGTGAAGAACTGAAGTTTTTTCTCGTTCTATCTACTTACAGCTGCAACAATTTTAATACTTAGATTAATAGATTTGAGGCTTAATCTTAGGTTTTCAGATATAACATCATATGAACTATATATATGTTTTATCAACATTAGCTAGTTTTCTTATATTCTTTATATATATATATATATATATATA